ATTATACAGACATTTAAAAATGTCTTAGAAATTATAATTTAAACAATAAAATGCAAATAATAAGCATAGAGTTCAAAAATATCCATTTGGAATATTGAATATTATATATATTAGTAAACGCATAAAATGTCTCTAAAAATCTCTAAATTTATTAAAAACCTGCTTAAAATGTTCAAAATGTATCAAATCATATAAATACAAGGCGATTATATTGCAATAACAAAGATAAATAACATTTGTAATATAATAGAAAAAATGGATTAAAATTTTTCTAAGTTGATGAAGGTGTTCGTGTAATAATTGGAAAATTTCTAAGTTAATGAACGTGTTCTTGTAATGTTTCCTTATATTGGGGCGTTGTCGGAGACACATACCCAAGGTTGTACATATATATGGGGTGGTCGGCTGACCGACTGCTAGTACTAAGGTTGCACAATGACTAGTCCTATATTAGGGACTTAACATAGTAAGGTCTGACGAACCAAAGCATTAATATAGAAGGTCTCTATGATGCATAAGCATTATGATAGCAGAGTTATGACTTGAAGTCCCATATGAATAAGACATACAGTAGTATGGTCTATGAAATAAAGCAAATATGTGGAAGGTCTCAAATATGTAAAAGCATTATATTGAAAGAAATGGGACTTGAAAAGGATTATTATAGTGGCGTGTAGGTTGCTTCGCAGCCTCTGAGACCGAGGTAAACTTGGACTCACTAACCGATGTGTCCTAGACATATCATCTTAGTGCCGGTGGTAAGCGGGTTTGTTGTAGCAATACGACTTGCCCGTGGACATCGCACACCCCTACCGGTTGTGGGCGGCGTCTTTGCGCATATCGTTATGATACGTCGGCTATCTTTCGGATTAGGGTGAGTGTGTTTGGTAGTACTTTTAAGTGCAGCAAGCATACTCAACTTCATGTCTTAGTGCAATAGCGCTATGATACGTGGAGTTTTGGCTACTGACGTCTTAGTACCGTACTACTATGATACGTTGGTTGTATTTTTAGTTAACAACATTATCAAATTTTGTTACCAAAGTCGATAGGGATCATGTGGGTGTGTTGTGAGGGGGCGCCATCCGTATGATAGTTGCATTGATGCTTACTGCTACTTGCAGTATTGTGTCTTGTGATGGATCTGCGGGTGTGTTGCACCTGATTCGATGCATCTTGTGGTTCTGGTCGATGGAGGTATGCGGGTGGTGATGTCTGCTGGGACTGTATGGGGGACCTTGGGATGGTGTAAGCCCGACGATAGTCGTATTGATGCTTGTTGCATTCTGTAGCATTGCGTCTCTACGATGGTTGTTTGGCGGGTCGCTATTCTCAATGGCGCTCCCTGCGTCTTGGTTTGACTCACAACCTAAGTAGCTTTGCCCAAGTCGGGTCCCTTCATTGCGAGGCTGCAGACTGTCTGCCCTCCATGATGTTTTATATAACAACTTAATAATATATCTCTATAAAGTTCCCACCTTTGAGAGATTGAAGGCAACTTGTTGGTGGGTGAGACAAACATGATCGAAAAATGCATATACTCAACGTCAGTGACACAAACCCTTTCTGATGGCGAATTATTAATATTATCTTATAACTGCCTATTGGCTATATCTGCCATTGTATTGGTTGGTGGAGCATATGTGTTGACCTCATGCGGGTGGTAGCTGGAGGGAGAATCTGAGGAGGCTCTCAAGGCTGCGGCCGAAAGCCGCGCAACGTGGGACCCCATTCCCTTGAGGTGAGCGGTAGACTCATGACACGCTCTGCGGCCAATTGGCCGTGCTGACCATGCAATTGGTGGTGATGCCTTACACTTACATCACGTCTGCAGAAACGGCGGTCTGGCAGGTGGTGGCGCTCACGGAGGGCTTTTTATGGTCAGTGTGCCTATTGTTGCCTAACCCGTGTGACGTGCATTCACTGTGGCTGGATTTGATCGTATTCTGTATGGCGTTTACACGCATTGACATGCGCGACTTCGGTCGATGTTTGTGTTTACGCACTATCAAGGGGCCAAGTCCTCTTTTACTGGTTCGCCAGTTATTTTGCTGTGGACTACGGTCCAGTTCCCAACTTTGCGTACCCTTCGGGGGGAGCGCAATAAAATGGTTGGCGCTCACCGTGCGCGGCGTGTGTGGGGCCGTGTACCTCCTCCACATTTTTTTTTTAAAATGTGGGAGAGCGAAGCCCTTGTAACTGGTATTTGATATAAATATTGTGAGCCTTTTCCAAGCGGGAAGGGATTAATTAATAAGGAATTGACTGTTGTGAACCAGATACAAGTGGAATAGGGACAGTTTATTGTTCTTAACCTTTTTGAGCTCTGTCTTCGTGAACGGGGTTCTTTAGCTTATAAGACTCTACCAACAGCTTTCGATTGCTCTCGTGAATATTCATTCTTCCAAGATACACCTAAAAGATCTAAGTTACTATACAAACACAACGTAAAAAAAAAGGGTCCTAACTAAGACGATCACGCCATAAATTTATTAAACGGCCTATATTTAAACCTTTAGAAAGATCATGTTATACTGGTCACGTAAATTAGATATATTTATATATCTTACAGATATAGATTCTCAAGAAATACAAGTATAAGTGGATATATAGTAGAAAAGAAAAAAGATGGGGGGGGGGGTTCGTTACAATTTGGTGCCGTGACCAGGATAGAGGTTAAATTTTAAATAGGAGGCCGGTAATATAAAATTATGAGGTAGGCTATATGCCTACAATTTGTTGTCCGTGAAATGGAGAGGTGTCTTGGAGAGTGGTGTTTGCTGGGGGTGGTTGAGAGTCTGGGGGTGGGGCTTAAATATTAAAATGGAGTAATAATATAGGAGGTGTGTGCATAACGGAGCGAAATAATAAAAAGTGAAATAAGTGGAAAGACTCAATTAAACTAAGTGAAGGACACAACAGGTGTTAAAAAAAAAAAACTGTAATACTATATATTATAAAGTGAAATAAGTGGAAAGATTCAATTAAACTAAGTGAAGGACACAACAGGTGTTAAAAAAAAAACTGCAATACTATATATTATAAAGTGAAATAAGTGGAAAAACTCAATTAAAGTAAGTGAAGGACACAAAAAGTGTAAAAAAAAAACAAACAAGTGGTAATAAAAATTAAAAATGGCTAAAAATAAGAAAAAATCAACCTCAATTAAGGCTAAGCCTAAAGATGAGATGAAAATGCTTCAGAAATTAATTAAGAATGCAGTGAAAACCTTTGAGGTTAAAATAAAGGATCTTGAGGAAAAATTTATTAACCAAACGAAAGATTACCAAATTAAAATAAATCAAGGAGAGGTGTCCGGGGCGAGCACCTCTCATGTAAAATGATCCTAGACAAAATATTGTATATAATGTACATAATGTAACAATAGCAAAGCCGAAATTTGGAAATGGAAATACTCATCCAGTATCATTTTTGGAAGATCTCACCAATTATTTAAAGAAAGTTCCATCTAATGGTCTCGAAATTTCGATAGCACAAGAGTGCTTAGTAGGTGAAGCCAAGTATTGGGCTCGCATTAATAATGTGCGTTGGACAACTTTTGATGATTTTAAAGCTGACTTCCTAAGAGTGTTTTGGGGTGAAGAAGAACAAAATAAAGTAAAGAGATTCCTTGTGCAAAATAAATGGAATAGAAGTACACACCCCACCATGGTTAGTTATTTTCTTTATGTTGTTGAGAAGGCACAAACATTATCATATCCGATACCTGAAAAACAATTAGTAACTGATGTCATCAGACATTATCCTAAAACTGTGCAGCAATTATGGAGAATAGCTAAAATTGAGACAATAATAGACACGACAGATTTCTTAAGAAACTTAGATGACATCGACAAACAAGATGAAGGTCGTGAACCTTACTATAATGAGAAAAGGAGGAAGTTTAATAATAATACGGAGCAAAAACATAAAGAAATACAACAATCATACAAAACATGGCGTAAACCCGAAGAGGGAAAAAAGAAGGTTAATGAAGTACATGAAATACATTTCACTAATGACCAACCTGATGTTACGGCTCCTGAGCCAAATTTAGAGCTGTAGAGGTCGAACTAGTTCCCGATTCGACCCCTTACAATGTAAAAGGGAACAAAGCATTAAATATGTTATTAAAACTGGGTTGGCGACCTGGTCAAACATTGGGTAAAAACAATAGAGGGTTGCGAAAACCTATTACTTTAAAAGCAAATTTTAACAGAGAAGGCCTTGGTTATAACGACAATGTAAATAGCATATTAAACACCTTAAAAGCCAGGTCGGACTTGCCCATAACGGAGTTATTCGTGCAAACCGTCTTCGAGGAAGACGAAGATAAATATCAAAGGGAATTTATAGGGAATATGAGATCTGAAATTAAAGTTTCAATATTTGACAAAGAAATAGACGCGCTTTTCGACACTGGGAGCGATGTTACATGCATTTCAGAAAGTTTATATTTACAAATTAAAGATAATAAGCGTAAAATATCAATAATGCCAGTTAAAGCAATGCAAATAAAAGGTGCTGTTGGGCAGCGCAGCACAAAAATACAACAGATGATCATATTGCCTATAAAGATAGATGAAGTAGTCTTTGAAACACAAACTTTAATTGTAGGTAATTTAATAAGACCTTTAATATTAGGCTTTGACTGGCTCAAGAGAAATAAAATATTGATTGATTTGAGAAATACTACTGTTGGAATAGAATTTAAAGTGAAAAACAAAGACTACTTTATACCTTTCAAATATAATAATAAATCTGTATTACATAATAACTGCATCAAACAATGTACCGATGATCCCTTAATAAATATAAAAATAGGATCTACATTGGAGGTCTCTGAAAGGGCAAAACTTAGTAAGGTTTTGGAAAAGCATAAGAATATGTTTTCGAGCAAATTGGGAGGAGCCAATTGCTATGAGCATAAAATTGAAATGATCGATGATGAACCTATAGTTACTAGGTCCTATCCCATTCCATATGCATATAGAGCGAAAATGGAAGAAAAGTTAAATGAAATGGAACAAGCTGGTATCATCACAAGGACATCAACGCCTTACAGTAGTCCATTGACATTCACTCTTAAAAAAGACGGCTCAATTAGAGTTCTGCTTGATGCCAGAAGCATAAATAAGAAAATGGTTGCAGAAACAGAGAAACCACCTATACAATTAGATGTTTTGAATTCATTTCACGGAGCGAATTATATCACTACCATTGACTTAAATAATGCATATTTTCAAATTCCGATAAATAAAGATGGTAGAAAATATACTGGATTCACATTCAATGGAAAGTCATATGTATATAATGTTTTGCCGCAAGGATTAAAAACATCAGTAGGAAGCTTTAGCAGAGCCATGAATTTAATATTAGGACCAGAAGTCCAAGAATTTTGTGTGAACTATTTAGATGATCTAGCCATTATTACAACAGGAACGTTAGATAAACATTTGGAGCACATTGATATTGTTTTAAGTAAATTGAACAAAGCTGGCTTAACGTGTAACTTGCAGAAATGTGAATTTATTTGTAAAGAAATTAAAATGCTGGGTTTTATAATTTCAACAGAAGGCATAAAGACAGATCCCGATAAGATTCGAGCGATCCAAGAGTTTCCAGCACCTAAAAAGATTAAACAATTAAGGGCCTTTTTAGGTCTATGCAATTTTTATAGAAGGTTTATACCAAATTACAGCGAGAGCATAATACCGCTCTGTGAATTACTTAAAAAGGGACGAAAGTTCCAATGGAGCGGTAAAGAACAGAAGGCATTTGATTTTATAAAACAACAATTTATTAATACAATACAATTGCATCATCCAGACTTTAATAAGCCGTATTATTTACAAACAGATTGTTCCGGTGTGGGTATGGCCGGAGTACTATATCAGATAGATGATAATAATGAAATGAGAATTTTAGGCTATCATAGTAAAGCCTTAAAAGGCCCCGAATTAAATTGGTCTGTTACTGAACAAGAGTTTTATGCTGTAATAAGCTGACTAAAGAAATTTGAAACATATTTACGGGGCAGTAAAGTAATAATACTAACTGATCATAAAGCATTATTGTTTATTAATAATATGAAGTTATTCAATGGTAGAGTAACCCGATGGATTTTGTATATAGAACAATTTAATTATGAAGTACAGCATATATCGGGTAGACGTAATATTGTTGCAGATGTGCTATCACGTTATCCTCCTGATGGCGATTTAATACAAGAGGATAAAAATAATAGTTTAGAAATTGCTTACACAGAGAGCGAACCGAATATTGAGTTGATAGAAAAATTAAAATCCTTATCAGTATATCAATTACAAGATTCAGAGTCGTTGGCTATTATTAAAAAGTTAAAGACATTAAATACTTCCATAATAAAACAAAACAATAAATTTAAAAGGTATAGTTTGAAAAATGATGTATTATATTACAAAACGAATTTACAAGAAGTAATATATTTACCTAAAGCATTGAGACAAGATATTATAAATCAAGTGCATGTCGAAATGGGTCATCAAGGACCCTATAAGGTAATTAAATATGTGAGAGACAGATTCTTTTGGAAAGGTTTAACAAAAGATATTAAAAACCAATTAAGGGCTTGTCATTTATGTCAGTTATCTAAGAAAAGCAATATAACATATGTGGGTCCCTGCAAATCTATAATAACAGAAAACATTGGCGATATAGTCATGGCAGACTTATATGGACCACTTGTATCAGGTACCTTTGGGTACACTTTCATATTTGTCATTCAAGATTCATTCAGTAAATTTATCAAATTATATCCTTTAAAACAGTCAACAGCAAAGTCTGTTGTAACAAAAGTAAAGCATTTTGTTGAGATTATAAAGCCCAAGGCAATAATGACAGATAATGGAAAACAGTTCGTAAGTAATCACTGGAAACAATCAATGAGTGAATTAAATATAAAGCCAATATATACCACAGTTAGAAATCCTAGACCAAATACAACAGAGCGAGTAAATAAAGAGTTGAGCAGATTATTTAGGACGCTTTGTCATACTAACCACAAAGATTGGGCGTTAATATTGCCGAAATTAGAAGAATTGTATAATAATTCTTATCACAATAGTACAGGCTTCACGCCTTGTGAGATTCTTTATGGTGAGTCTAATGAGATGTCTTTTGACAAAGTAATTTCCAAAAGTAAAGACAAACATAATGTCGAACAGATTAGACAACAAGTGCGTAAAAATTTAAAAGAGGCAAGTCGAATAAGAAACACAAAATTTGATAAGCGAAATAGATTAATAAAATATAATATTGGTGACTTAGTAAAAATTTGAGATCTGGGGGATTTGATAACATATGCCGTATTGTAACAGATTAAAAGAGGAAAGAACAGATATATAAATAATTATTTGAGTGTAGTGTATATGCTCTCAAAATATTAAATTTTATATTAACGACTCCACTATGTGGATCATTAACATAAAATTTGGGGGTGGATTGTGACGCCTCATAATTATTATTAATAAATAATAATTAAATTCATTATACAGACATTTAAAAATGTCTTAGAAATTATAATTTAAACAATAAAATGCAAATAATAAGCATAGAGTTCAAAAATATCCATTTGGAATATTGAATATTATATATATTAGTAAACGCATAAAATGTCTCTAAAAATCTCTAAATTTATTAAAAACCTGCTTAAAATGTTCAAAATGTATCAAATCATATAAATACAAGGCGATTATATTGCAATAACAAAGATAAATAACATAAGATAAGTGGTCGGCGGATAAGTGGTCGGCTGACCGACTGTTAGTACTAAGGTTGCACAATGACTAGTCCTATATTAGGGACTTAACATAGTAAGGTCTGACGAACCAAAGCATTAATATAGAAGGTCTCTATGATGCATAAGCATTATGATAGCAGAGTTATGACTTGAAGTCCCATATGAATAAGACATACAGTAGTATGGTCTATGAAATAAAGCAAATATGTGGAAGGTCTCAAATATGTAAAAGCATTATATTGAAAGAAATGGGACTTGAAAAGGATTATTATAGTGGCCTGTAGGTTGCTTCGCAGCCTCTGAGACCGAGGTAAACTTGGACTCACTAACCGATGTGTCCTAGACATATCATCTTAGTGCCGGTGGTAAGCGGGTTTGTTGTAGCAATACGACTTGCCCGTGGACATCGCACACCCCTACCGGTTGTGGGCGGCGTCTTTGCGCATATCGTTATGATACGTCGGCTATCTTTCGGATTAGGGTGAGTGTGTTTGGTAGTACTTTTAAGTGCAGCAAGCATACTCAACTTCATGTCTTAGTGCAATAGCGCTATGATACGTGGAGTTTTGGCTACTGACGTCTTAGTACCGTACTACTATGATACGTTGGTTGTATTTTTAGTTAACAACATTATCAAATTTTGTTACCAAAGTCGATAGGGATCATGTGGGTGTGTTGTGAGGGGGCGCCATCCGTATGATAGTTGCATTGATGCTTACTGCTACTTGCAGTATTGTGTCTTGTGATGGATCTGCGGGTGTGTTGCACCTGATTCGATGCATCTTGTGGTTCTGGTCGATGGAGGTATGCGGGTGGTGATGTCTGCTGGGACTGTATGGGGGACCTTGGGATGGTGTAAGCCCGACGATAGTCGTATTGATGCTTGTTGCATTCTGTAGCATTGCGTCTCTACGATGGTTGTTTGGCGGGTCGCTATTCTCAATGGCGCTCCCTGCGTCTTGGTTTGACTCACAACCTAAGTAGCTTTGCCCAAGTCGGGTCCCTTCATTGCGAGGCTGCAGACTGTCTGCCCTCCATGATGTTTTATATAACAACTTAATAATATATCTCTATAAAGTTCCCACCTTTGAGAGATTGAAGGCAACTTGTTGGTGGGTGAGACAAACATGATCGAAAAATGCATATACTCAACGTCAGTGACACAAACCCTTTCTGATGGCGAATTATTAATATTATCTTATAACTGCCTATTGGCTATATCTGCCATTGTATTGGTTGGTGGAGCATATGTGTTGACCTCATGCGGGTGGTAGCTGGAGGGAGAATCTGAGGAGGCTCTCAAGGCTGCGGCCGAAAGCCGCGCAACGTGGGACCCCATTCCCTTGAGGTGAGCGGTAGACTCATGACACGCTCTGCGGCCAATTGGCCGTGCTGACCATGCAATTGGTGGTGATGCCTTACACTTACATCACGTCTGCAGAAACGGCGGTCTGGCAGGTGGTGGCGCTCACGGAGGGCTTTTTATGGTCAGTGTGCCTATTGTTGCCTAACCCGTGTGACGTGCATTCACTGTGGCTGGATTTGATCGTATTCTGTATGGCGTTTACACGCATTGACATGCGCGACTTCGGTCGATGTTTGTGCTTACGCACTATCAAGGGGCCAAGTCCTCTTTTACTGGTTCGCCCGTTATTTTGCTGTGGACTACGGTCCAGTTCCCAACTTTGCGTACCCTTCGGGGGGAGCGCAATAAAATGGTTGGGTCTCACCGTGCGCGGCGTGTGTGGGGCCGTGTACCTCCTCCACATTTTTTTTTTAAATGTGGGAGAGCGAAGCCCTTGTAACTGGTATTTGATATAAATATTGTGAGCCTTTTCCAAGCGGGAAGGGATTAATTAATAAGGAATTGACTGTTATGAACCAGATACAAGTGGAATAGGGACAATTTATTGTTCTTAACCTTTTTGAGCTCTGTCTTCGTGAACGGGGTTCTTTAGCTTATAAGACTCTACCAACAGCTTTCGATTGCTCTCGTGAATATTCATTCTTCCAAGATACACCTAAAAGATCTAAGTTACTATGCAAACACAACGTAAAAAAAAAGGGTCCTAACTAAGACGATCACGCCATAAATTTATTAAACGGCCTATATTTAAACCTTTAGAAAGATCATGTTATACTGGTCACGTAAATTAGATATATTTATATATCTTACAGATATAGATTCTCAAGAAATACAAGTATAAGTGGATATATAGTAGAAAAGAAAAAAGATGGGGGGGGGGGTTCGTTACAACAGCACTGGTGATGCTCTATACACCGGTCGTGCCAATATTTCTCGGGAAAACGTCGCTGAGTACCGGAACAAACTTGTGTCTGAAGTCGAGTCTTTGCTGAACAAAGTCTCGGATTGGGGGCGACTAAATCTAGTCCAATTTAATCCTCAGAAGACACAAGTTTGCGCGTTTACCGCTAAAAAGAACCCCTTTGTCGTATCTCCTCAGTTTCAAGGCACTCCCCTTCTTGCCTCAGCCAGTATCGGTATCCTCGGAGTCGACATATCGAGTGACGTGCAGTTTCGCGGTCACTTGGAAGGGAAGGCCAAATTGGCCTCTAAAAAGCTTGGCGTGCTCAGCAGAGCGGGACAGTATTTCATGCCGGCACACCGCCTGCTACTTTACAAGGCGCAAGTTCGGCCTCACATGGAATACTGTTCCCATCTCTGGGCAGGGGCTCCCCAGTGCCAGCTCCTTCCACTTGACCGCATCCAACGCAGAGCGGCTCGAATCGTCGACGACCGAGCCCTTTCCGATCGGCTCGATTCATTGGCACTGCGAAGAGATGTTGCATCCCTTTGCATTTTCTTTCGCATCTACCATGGGGAGTGCTCTGAGGAATTGTTCGGATTAATCCCAGCCGCCAAATTTCACGAACGCACATCGCGGCAGAACTCCCGATACCATCCACACCATCTGGATGATTGGCGGTCCACCACTGTGCGATTTAGACGATGTTTTCTTCCTCGCACGACCTCCTTGTGGAATCGATTACCATCAGCGATTTTTCCGGACCGATACGACTTAGGGACCTTCAAGAAAAGAGCGTACTCCTTTTTAAAAGGCCGGCAACGCATCTGCGATTCCCCTGGTGTTGCAGTTGTTCATGGGCGGCGGTAGTCACTTACCATCAGGTGAGCCGCATGCTCGTTTGCCCCCTCTCCTATAAAAAAAAAAAAAAAAAAAAAAAGAGTCCCTAGTTCTCTGTATT